AGAAATGCTCTGCATAATAAGCGGCTTTCTATATAGCAGTATGTCACTGATGTCAGCTAGGGCTGTATACCTTGTATGTGTACTTGTAGAAATAAAGATATTATTATTTTATGGGTGATTTGTAACCTTTCAGTATTTTTTTAAGGCAGAGTACCACAATGAGCAATAGTCTACAATATATTTTATTAGAGGTATACATCAGGTTCTGTGACCTTCAGTTGGCTAACACTGCGCCTGTCTGTAGAGGAACTTACGTCTGGCATTCGCTTTCTTTACTACACAGTTCCCTGTTAGGTCATGCTTGAGTCAAATGGGATTACCAGATATTTCACTGAATTTACTGTAATAACAGGTTCCCCATTACGCTGAACATTAAAATTATTTACATTTTTTCAATTTATATTACGTACCAAACAATATGGCTTTAGTTTTCCCGAAGTGTAGTGATAATTTGTTTTCTACCAACCATTTGATACAGGACTCTAGTTCTAGTGATAGTACATTATGTATATCTTGTAGGCTTTTGCCTAATACTAACAAAGCATTATCATCTGCATATAAGCTTTGATTTGACACTGATAGGCATGTCATTCTTATAACACAAGAACTGCAAAGGGCCCGGGATACTACCTTAAGGAACCCCACATATTATCGGCAGGGGCTCTGATTCTGTGTTGTTGATCTTGACAATTTGTTCCCTGTTGCTCAGGTAGGACTTAAATCATTCTACAGAATTTATGTTTGTAGTTTCTTACATAATATATTGTGATTGACAGTATTGAAGACCTTTTGCAAGTCTTAACTTACCATTCTTATGAAACTACATAACGACATTTCAGTCCTCAGTTAGTCCAACAAATTAATAAGGAAAGTGTCCGTTGATATAGATCTTCTAAAACCTGACTGGTAGCTATGGAGAATGTTTTTGTCATTAAGTTACTTAACTGCTTGACAGTATGCAGCCTTCTGTAAAATTTTGGACATCACACTGAGAATACTAGACCAATAGTTGTTGACACTAGGAAGATAGGAGTAAATCTGGCCTCACTGAATTCTTCTGAGACAGTATATGTGGCTATGGACAAATTTATTAAGTGCTTAGTGGGAATTGGAAATTCAGAGGCGCCAAATTTTAGGAACTTAACGGGATGTTATCTGGACAGTGTTCTTAATTGGTTTAATTTACTTAGTTCTTTTCGTACCAAGTCATAACATAGTAGTGTGGGGTTGGTGGGTCAGGTGGGAGTCAGGTGTGGTAGTAGTGTGGGGTTGGTGGGTCAGGTGGGAGTCAGGTGTGGTAGTAGTGTGGGGGTGGTGGGTCAGGTGGGAGTCAGGTGTGGTAGTAGTGTGGGTTGGTGGGTCGGGTGGGAGTCAGGTGTGGTAGTAGTGTGGGGGTGGTGGGTCAGTGGGAGTCAGGTGTGGTAGTAGTGTGGGTTGGTGGGTCAGGTGGGAGTCAGGTGTGGTAGTAGTGTGGGGGTGGTGGTCAGGTGGGAGTCAGGTGTGGTAGTAGTGTGGGGGTGGTGGGTCAGGTGGGAGTCAGGTGTGGTAGTAGTGTGGGGTTGGTGGGTCAGGGGGGAGTCAGATGTGGTAGTAGTGTGGGGTTGGTGGGTCAGGTGGGAGTCAGGTGTGGTAGTAGTGTGGGGGTGGTGGGTCAGGTGGGAGTCAGGTGTGGTAGTAGTGTGGGGTTGGTGGGTCGGTGGGAGTCAGGTGTGGTAGTAGTGTGGGGGTGTGGGTCAGTGGGAGTCAGGTGTTTGTGGTTAGTAAGTGTGGGGGGGTGGTAGGTCAGGTGGAGTCAGGTGTGGTAGTAGTGTGGGGGTGGTAGGTCAGGTGTGAGTCAGGTGTGGTAGTAGTGTGGGGTGGTGGGTCAGGTGGGAATGAGTTGTGGCAGTAAGTGTGGTGGGTGAGGCGGGTCAGGTGGGAGAGACGTGTTGCAGTAGTGTGGGGTTTGTGGGTCGGGTGGGAGTGAGGTGTGGGGGAGGTGGATCGGGTGGGAGTGAGGTGTGGGGGTGAGAGTCAGGTGTGGCAGTAGTGTGGAGGTGGTGGGTCTGGTGGGAGTGATGTGGGGATCAACGCCCCCGCGGCCCGGTTCCCGGTGAATCAGGGCATGATCAACGAGGCTGTTACTGCTGGCCGCAAGCAATCAAACGTACAAACCAGAGCCCGACTGATCTGGCACCGACTTTAGGTAACTGTCCAATTCCCCTTTTGAAGACAACCAGAAGTCTACTGGTAATGCCCCTTACTGCTGGAGTTGGTCGGTCGTGTGGGAGTGAGGTGTAGGGGTGGTGGGCCGGGTGGGAGTGAGGTGTAGGGGTGGTGGGTCGGGTGGGATTGAGCAATTGGGGTGGTGGGTCGGGTGGGAGTGAGAAATAGGGATGGTGGGTCGGGTGGGAGTGAGGTGTGGGGGTGGTTCGTCGCGTGGGAGTGAGGTGTAGGTGTGAAGGTTGGGTGGGAGTGAAGTGTAGGGGTGGTGGGTCGGGTGGGAGTGAGATTTGGGGGTGGTGGGTCGGGAGGGAGGTGTAAGGGTGGAGGTCGGGTGGGAGTGAGGAGTGGGGTGTGGGAGTGAGGTGTGGAATAGTGTGGGGGGTCAGGTGGGAGTGAGGAGGGGGTGGGAGTGAGTGTGGAATAGTGTAGGGGTCGTGGGTCGGGTGGGGGTGAGGTGTTGGGGTGGTGGATCGGTGGGAGTGAGGAGTGAGGGGTGGGTGTGGATAGTGAGGTGTGGGGTAGTGTGGGAGTGAGGGTGGGTGGGAGTGAGTGTGCAATTGTTGTGGTGGTGGGTGGCTTCAGTGGGAGTAAGGTGTGGAATAGTGTAGGGGTGGTGGTCTTGTGAGAATGGGTGTGGCAGTAGAAATTTGGTGGGTGGTGGGTCGGGTGAATGAGGAGTGGGGGTGGTGGGGCTGGGTCGGTGGGAGTGAGAGGTGGGGGTCTTGGGTGGTGAGGTGTCAGGATGGGGGGGTGGTGAGCAAGTGTGGTGCGTAGGGGCTTGTGGGTCGGTGGGAGTGAGATGTGGGGTTTGGTGGTGGGTCAGGTGGGGGTAGGAAAGGGGTGGGAGTTGTGGGGGGTGTGGAGTGAAGTGGGGGTGAGTGTGGTCGGGTGTAGGTTGAGGTGTGGGGTGGGGGTCAAGTGGGAGTGGTGTGGGGTGTGGGCAGGTAGGTGTTAGGTGGGTGTGGCCAGGTGGGTGGTGTGTTGGGGTGTTGGGTAGGTGGGAGTGAGGCGTGTGGATGCTAGGAGTGAGGTGGGGGGGTGGAGTGAGGTTTGCATAGTGTGGGGGTGGTGGGTCGGGTGGGAGTGATGTGTGGGGGTGGTGGGTCGGGTGGGAGTGATATGTGGGGGTGGTGGGTCAGGTGGGAGTGAGGTGTGGCAGTACCGAGGGGGTGGTGGGTCAGGTGGGCGTGAGGTGTGGCAGTAGTGTGGGGGTGGTGGGTCACGTGGGCGTGAAGTGTGGCAATTCCGAGAGGGTGGTGGGTCGGTGGGTGTGATATGTGACCTGGCAGCACTCTCACACACACTACACTTATGTGATAGCATGGGCCAGACAGCACTTCCTCACACACACACACTACTCTTATGTGATAGCAATGACCTGGCAGCACTCCTTCACTTATGTGATATCACTTATGTGATAGCATGGGCCTTGCAGCACTCCCACACACGCACTACACTGATGTGATAGCAAGGGCCTGCCAGCACTCCCACACACACTCTTCTCACTAATAGCAACTGAAAAATGACTGCAATTCCTTCCATGAAAAACTTATGTAGGAAGGCCCTGTCGTTCAGCAGTTTCCTACACACCATCGTATAATTAATAATTAATATATGGACTCACGTAACTCCGTACCGAGACACTCACTCTCTCGTGATCTCCTCTCACTTCCTCTCCTCTCTCTTCATCTCTATGTCTCTCTCCTCCGCACTCTCCTCAAAAGTAAAACAAAGGAAAATTGCGCTCAAGTAATATACTTTGAAGTGATATTTGGAATTAGTCGAAAGTGAGTTATTTAGTGAAATGATCGGTTCGATTCCCACATGAAACATTCAACAATGAATGTTTTACTACTGAATAAATGGTATTGTGTTACCAACAAGATGTGAAAAAGACGGTTATGTACAGCTCAAGAAGAAGTCACTTGTGGCGAAACATTTCCTCTAATAAATGTCCTAAACTGTACATAAGTGTCTTTTTCCCAGAATGTTTTGCAAGCCTAGGACAGCATTTTGACAATTGCTCCCCCCCCTCCCCCCACCATTTTTTTGCATTTACGGGGGGGATTATTGTTTCCAGTACTAGGCCTCACAGTTGATAACTTTTAGATAGCTTTGTCAATAATTGATTTATAAATAATTCTGAGTAATTTCTACGAAGTTCCTGGACTCTAGGGGCTTTCTATATAGTATGTCACTGATGTCAGCTATGGTCTGTATAAGTTGTATCACGTACTTGTAGAAATAAAGATTATTATTACTCCTGGAAATTGCAACCAGTCAGAATCTGTTTCCCAAGTTCTTGTTGTGTCTAACAGTATGGAATAATTTCAAACCCTGACAATGATATTGGGCAGGTATGTTCCTACTCTTCATATTTAGCCTGGCAGGTCTCGGCTAATGCAATAAATCGATGTTTCCTGCTCATGCAGTTAATCTTAACTCGTTTATCTTGATTCTTAGCATGTATAATAAATTCTAAGAAAATTAATTCTAAGAAAATTTTATTCTGCATCTTTTTGTTGTTTATCTTTGACTCCACATGTTTTGATAGTATTATTCCCTCGTGTGTTAGAAGTCTTGGATTCACAAGTGGTAGTGTTAGTGAATTCACGTATTAGTTGCCCTCATTCCACAAATGACAGAAGTCTTGACTCCACATATTAGTGATTCTGACTTGACAAGTTTTATTGGCTTTGACTCTATATATGTAAGAGCTTTTCCTCTTGCGTGTATTATCTAATGTTTTTAACTACGTTATAAATGAATATCCTAACAACTTTACCCATTAACAGCACTGGCGGTCGTGGTGGCAGCGAAGTGCATCACCTTCAAGGAATTGACGTCAGGCCAGTTCGAGTTCGACACGTTAAGGTACTAACTATATTATCTGTCTATCATGCTGTTACGTTGTCCTTGTTATTAGGTGACTGATTCTTGAGTGATTTTTTTTTTTTACTCTTGGTGTCTTGTAGTACTTTCTATTTATTGGGTTTTCACTCCTGCTAACTTATGGAAATATCAATTGATTGCTTCTCTTTCATGGTAACTGGTAGTGCACTCAGTTGATTGGTTCTTCAAACTTCATGGCAACTGAACGTGTAATCTGCTGATTGGTTCTTCATACCCGGTGGATGATTGCTTCTTTTATTTATTGGTTTATCATTCTTAATAGCTGCTGAAACTATTTAATGATTGTTTTTTACACCTGGCGACTGCTGGTGTTGTCAGAAGATTTATTTTTCCCTCTTTGTGGAAGTTGACGCTTTCTTGATTAGTTTCAGTCTTGGCAACTGGTGGTTCAGTCTGTTGTTTGGATCCATAACTCTCCTGGTTTCTGGTAATACTTTCTCTTGAACGCACATGAGTAGTGAAGTTTTCTTCTGTACGGTCTCCTCCTCTCAGCGGTCTCCTCCTCTCAGCGGTCTCCTCCTCTCAGCAGTCTCCTCCTCTCAGCGGTCTCCTCCTCTCAGCGGTCTCCTCCTCTCAGCGGTCTCCTCCTCTCAGCGGTCTCCTCCTCTCAGCGGTCTCCCATGGTACGGTCTCAACGGTATGGTCTCTTCTGAGCGGACTCCTTCCGCGCCGCGGCCGCCCCGCGCCCCGCCCCACACCCGCCCTCGCGCCCGCCTCGCGCCTTCTGCAGCGCCTTCTGCAGCATCGTCCAGATCGCCCCCACACCGCGAATTTTTTTCCGATTTTTTTCAATTTTTTTTTAATTTCTTGTGCTCTCCAATTCCTCGGATCAAGTTTTTCTCGATATCAATAATACAAAGACTCCACTACCTTGGATCAAGTTTTTTTGGATTCCCCCCTCTGGGGGTAAGCATTCAAAATGGACTCCCACTTGCATCCCAAATTCCCTGCTCCATCTCCTCAGATCAAGTTTTTCTCAATAACAATAAAACAAAGACTCCACTACCTTGGATCAAGTTTTTTGGGTTCCCCCATCTGGGGGTAAGCATTCAAAATGGACTCCCACTGGATTCCCCCATCTGGGGGTAAGCATTCAAAATGGTCTCCCACTGGATTCCCCCATCTGGGGTAAGCATTCAAAATGGTCTCCCACTGGATTCCCCCATCTGGGGTAAGCATTCAAAATGGTCTCCCACTGGATTCCCCCATCTGGGGGTAAGCATTCAAAATGGACTCCCACTGGATTCCCCCATCTGGGGGTAAGCATTCAAAATGGTCTCCCACTGGATTCCCCCATCTGGGGGTAAGCATTCAAAATGGACTCCCACTGGATTCCCCCATCTGGGGTAAGCATTCAAAATGGTCTCCCACTGGATTCCCCCATCTGGGGGTAAGCATTCAAAATGGACTCCCACTGGATTCCCCCATCTGGGGGGTAAGCATTCAAAATGGTCTCCCCCCTATGGGGTTTCGAATTTTCTTGTATTCTCCAATTCCTCGGATCAAGTTTTTCTCGATATCAATAATACAAAGATTTCCCCCCCACCTCACACCACCCACTTCTACCCCAAATATTCCTGCTCCACTTCCTTGGATCAAGTTTTTCTCAATAACAATAATACCAAGACTCCAACTCCTTGGATCAAGTTTTTCTCAATATCAACTTTTTGAGGTTCTCCATCCCACTTTCACCCCATCCCAAAATTTCTCCTCCATCTCCTCGGATCAAGTTTTTCTCGATATCAACTTTTTTGAGGGCCTCCTTCCCACTTTCACCCCCATCCCAAATTTTTTCGATTTTTTTTTGGAATTTCATTTTCTTATGATCTCCATCTCCTTGGATCAAGTTTTTTGGATTCCCCCCACTGGGGGTAAGCATTCAAATGAACTCCTCCTATGGGGCATGGTACTTTCTCTTACAACAGGTCTAAACAAGTGTGGCGTCACCCCACCTGTGTTTACTCGGCGGGTCAGTGACGTCACATGATGACCTCACACACACAGGCTGAATCTTGTCGACTTCCCCCTATGTCAGTGACGTCACGTGATGACCTCACACACACAGGCTGAATCTTGTCGACTTCCCCCTATGTCAGTGACGTCACGTGATGACCACACACACACAGGCTGAATCTTGTCGAGCAGACATTAAAATGCAGGATAACACTAATACACAATATTTTCATTTATTTATTATACAACCAATGCATTTCAAATACATCCAACAAAAAAAATTCATTGAAAAAAAGATACAAATCATTGACTAAAATCACCATAGAGTAATTCTTTTTCTCTTGAAGAAATTCTGTGCATTTTGTTCTGGATCTTCTTTGTCGTCACCATCTCAATATTACACAATTCATATACAACATAGGGAAAACATTACACATTTTCACTCTTATCCCAGGATAACCCAAATAATTCCACATTTTTTTCGTTAATACCCACAACAATCCACAATTTCATTACAAAAGATTCACTCTCCTCAAGTCTAGACATTTTTCTCGTTTTAACTATTTCATCAGAAAAAGTCTGGCGAATCTTATCTGACTGATCTCAGATAACATCTCAGGTCACCCCATAGCATCGTCTGAGACCTTCTCTCTCTCCTCTTCTAACCCGTTCTCCCCCCCCCCAAACCCTCACTCTCCCAACAACATCTCAAAATTTTCACTCATAACACACAATTTTTCTCTTTTTAACTATTTCATCAGAAAAAGTCACCACAACACTTACAACTTATAACCACTTTTCGATAAATTCACTAGTCACAATTTTACATATTACGAAGTTAAAACACACACACACACACACACACACACACACACACACACACACACACACTCACACTCACACTCACACTCACACTCACACTCACACTCCCCTCACACTCACACACACCTCACTTTACTTTGAACACCTTCAAAACACTCTCATAAATCATTTGAATACTCACAAAAGCACCTTTGAACATTTCCAAGCAACACCGAAACACTTCCAAAATATCTGTGGGCACCTAGCTCCCTTGCAGTGCTCCCCTTTCTTTGTATTTGACTGGCTCCTCCTCTTTATTCCCCACTACCACCACTTTCTCTACTACTACTACTACTACTACTTCCACCACCTCTTCCTGCCTATATATACCCGTCCTGCTCCACTTCTGGTTAGTGTGACTTTGTAAATGGTCCAAGTCGGACCGAAACGTCGTCGTAAGCTTCTCTCTTTTATGTGCGGGTTATTTGTATATTAGCTCAGTGTTTAATTACTGCTTCAAGAATCGTACTTCTGGTTTAACCTTCCTCTCAACATAACAGTTGTGCTGCTCTGTAATCCACCATGTATTTGAGCAGATAAGTACATAGGACTATAAAAATAGAGGAACACTGCAGCAGGCCTACCAGCCCATATTAGGCAGGACTCTCTCAAACCCAAACCCACTAACAAAAATTACTCATAACGAGACATGCATTGCTGGGTTTACCCCTCCTGTAGGCATGTTGTATTCCTGCAGGCGAGTCTGAAGGCAACCTTCTGTCACCCATGTATGCTTTATCACATCTTCTACGTAGACATAATAGTAAGACAATTCCTTGAAAGGAACAATGCACAGATAACTCGCTCATAGGAGACAAAGTTATGACGACGTTTCTGTCCGACTTGTACCATTAATTAGTCGGACAGAAACGTTGTTATAAGTTTGTCTCCTGTGTGTGGGTTATTAGTGCATTCCACATGGAATTGTGTATTAGCGGTACTCTTCGGTCAATATGCTCCGCTGATGTTTCTTAAGGTTATTCTGGTAAATACAGCAATGTCAATGTTACATTTTGGAGTATGCTGGTGACTGCAAATTGTTATGTGAGGAACACATGACGATTAATATTAGCTGAATTCCCATGAAGTGGTGAAGACTGAGTAAGGTCATATTTGCAGGAGGACATAGTGAAGTGGGAACTTAAGAGCGGTGAAATCGTCCACGATGATTTTCTTTTTTTCATCGAGAAATTCTTCCTTACAAATCTTGAGAGCATGGAGGAAAAAAAATACTAATGACTCCATGTTTAATCTTAGAGTCGTGGTGTGAAAAAGAGTGTCAAATCATCTTTATTGGTGGAATTATTTTTTAAAGACCTTGCATTCGAGAGTGTTTCTCTGATGAGGAGGACGTCAAGACAGTGAAACAAGTTATCCTTTTTGTCCTCCAGAGAAAACTGAATTATGGGTTCCCTTTAGCCGAGTGTGTCCTTAAACTAAATATTAAAGTGTCTGGGGGAGAATCATGACGTTATTGATATATATCAAGCGTGTGATAATGTGTGCGATGATTATCTTGAGGCAATCGCTCTCTAGGCGTTTGAGGTAAAGGTGGCCAAAACAACGCTTAGGGGGTAAATATATTACAATTACATATTTCTGTCTATAGGAGAAGGCGAAGTGGAACCTAACACTTAACTCTGTGAGATTCAAAAAGTCTTGTTTAGGGGAAGGAAGTGGTAGATTCTGAGGAATATAATTACGAAAAACCCGGAGACTATTCTCCAAAATAGACGTATCCTTCTGCCCTCTTAGACGACTCTGCTGTAGCGGCAGGAGTTGGAATTGCAGAGAAAGAGAATAACCTGATCTATTGGAACACGAGTGAAGGAGGTGACGCTAAGCCTGGCGAGTTTTTTTTATTTTTTTTTTATTTCCTATGATGGTGTGGTTTAGTCAGGAGATGGCGGAGACGAGAGTTGCTGAGAACACCTAACAGTTTGAAAAGGTATCTGGTAAGGCACTGGAAAACCTGGAAGTGACGGATTGAAGAGGAATACATTGTTTATGAACCTTGGGGACTCTTTAGATATATGCTGGTTTAGGTTTAGTAGGCAGAAGAAAATATATCCGCTTTCTTTGTTTGGTGCAGTTGAGAATCTTCTTGGCGCCTTGAAGACAGGATGTGGTGCTCTTAGCCAAAGTAT